GCCTCCAATGTGAGAATGGCTGGTACCGATATAAGCCTCAGTACCAGATGATAGCACGGTGTCTCAAGGCTTGTCCTCGTGGATACCGGGCAAACTCTGGAACACGTAATTTTGGACCGACGTGCGAGAAAATACCATCATGTAAGTGCAGATATGATAGAGCGGTGTTGGTATGAGTAGGAAACAAAAAGGCAAATTCGTAGTTGTACCGTATATTACCGTAGCAGTAACTACGCGTTGCGATTGGATAAATTACTGCAAGACAATCATATGGGACGACGTTGAAATTGGGTGAATAAATGGAAGAAAGATATAAATAGAGCGGTTTTGGTATGATAAGGAAAACAATACGACAAATTCGTAGTCGTATCGCATATTCCCGTAGCCGTAACTACGCGATGCGATTGGTGGAATAACGAGGACACGATCGGAACACATTGCAATCTAATGGATTACTGGAAAACAACGGGATGCCATTTCAGTATTACGGCATGTCGTACCTTGTACTAGCTATAAGTCAGTACCGTATGTTTCTCATTCATACGAAAACTGCTCTTTAAACGTTGCGTTGCTAGAGCACTACCTTCATATGTCATCTTAATTGATCAAAGCATATCGTGAGTGAATGTGTTGTTGGTTCTTTATCGTAGTTTGCTTTAATGCTCCTCATTGTGTCAAGTGCGACAAGTTCCCATGGACCCATTCATGCCTCCTATGTGAGAATGGCTGGTACCGTTACAAGCCTCATAACCAGGTGATTGCAAGATGTGTCAAGACCTGTCCTCGTGGATACCAGACAAACACTGGCGCTCTTAATTTGGGATCAACATGCGAGAGAATCCCCTCTTGTAAGATACTTTTTTAAATGCTATTACGAAAATCAGAGACCTTTAATAGGAAATTTAGGCTTTTATTTAAGAAATATGAGGCTCGCCAGCATGTAATATAAATGCGTGAGCATGAGAGAAGCAAGCTTAGGAACACAAGGCGTAGCTGAGTGTTAGCTAGTGTTTCTCCTGCTTTGCATAGTGCTCCTAATTTATATGTATTATTATTTTTATTATTATTATTATTATTATTA